GCTCCAAGGGAGTTTCTTAAAAAGTTAGTGTCAAGCTCTACATCTCAAAGCTCCTTATGGTTCCTTAAAATCTGAAAGAATTTTAACTAGATTTCCTGTATCTTAATGACACGAAATAATGTTTTTGAAGACTGCTGTTCATTGCACCATAATCTCTTTAACTGTGTTAAGACACTAAGATATTTTTTAAATAACAGTGTGTGTAATTTTGGGGGAAAAAAGGATATCAATATGTGATTATTATGAAAATGAAGAGGCAGCTACTAGGTATGGAATTTTGCAGAATCCTTGATGTGTTCAGTGTACCATTACTAAATGACTCAAATCTAAATAACATTTGGCATTATAATAGAAGAAAATAACTGACTAAGCTAGACTAAGAACCAGTGATACTGAACCATAATAAGAAGCGGTTTTTTCCCAGCACCAGACTTTCTTCTCTGAAATTAGACTGAAGAAAATGGGGGTAATTAAAGATACATACTTACTGGGCAGCAAAGCACAAAAAAAACAAGGGTAGGTTTAAGGATACAGTTTCAGAGGACATATTTGTCAAAAATATTTTTGTTTTGTGACTACCTATAATCAAGACTGGTCCTTCAGTGGGTATGTTCTTTGACTGAAACTTCTGAAACCTTCAATTCTGCTTAATATTAACAGTGAAGATTTTAAGATAAAGACTTGACTTGGAACCTATCTTGCAGACTCCTGTTGTGCAAAGAGAACCTCTGGACCATGATGCTTGGATGGCTAATTTACTTTTTCTATGCATCTACTTGTGTCTTTTCATTAGTTGTAATAGTTCTGCAGGCTTGGGATTATAATGGTAATGCTGTCCTCTTAATAAATTCAATGTAGCTACTGTTAAGTGCTCAGTAAATAGAAAACCAGAAGCAATAGAAGAAGGGAAAAAAAGTCTCTTTCTTGAGCAAAACAGTTATCCAAGTGTTCTAAGGAGTACTGTATATTTCTCTGTGGTAAAGAAACATTTCCCTTTCTGCTTCTAAAACCATCTTATATCTCTAACATCAGTTAGCAACTGTAATACTGGTGTCAGGAATAACATATCCCAGCTGCATTTTAGAGTGAATTGAGCTGGGACAAGGGGTCCTTGGAGCGTACTGAATGGGTGAGAGCTTTTAAAGGGAGAAATCAATACTACAGCAGGATTTAGACAACTTAGCAAAATATATCCGACAGAACTTTGGTCAAAGAATAACTACAACAGCAAGTTAACCCATGGGGTGCCTGAAGTACAGTCTATAACATTTCACTTGAACTCTCAGTTGAAAAGAACATTAGTTATTTTAGCAGGGTGCTGGAAGTATAATAAAGGTTGCAAATCCACTCTTAAGAAGTCTCCTCACACGTGTTATCCAAATTCTATTTGGATATTATCTCTGTGATTTTTCACACCAGTTAGACATGAGAAGATAAAGAATTGCTCTATTAAGCAAAATTGCTCAGATGTGAAGAAAATTTACACTTTTTTCTGAGTTGCTACTTAGTAGAAGAGGTACTTTTCAGAGAGTCAGAAGGAGAAAGCAATACTAAAAAGACTAGAAGGCTCTCTTGGGACAAGTCTTGGTAGAGCTGACTACCTGTACTTTGAGTGGGAGAGATTAGCACTTGAAAGGTCTGTCACTGCAACTGTATTTTCTCAGGTCTTAGCAGAACATATTTTTAGTAATGGTATTCCCTAGGCTTGGATTGACATCACACACAAGGATAGCTGCCCGTAGAGGCAGAACTAAATCATGATTATGGAATCTCAGTAAAATTCTGTTAATTTTAGATTTCTACATTTTCTCTTTTAAAATCTTTTTCCCATTAAAATTATAAAAATAGTAAGAGCCTATAAAAAGAGTAAATAAATGGTGAATAAAATGGTGCTGTTACCAGTCAAACACTACAAGTAAAATGCAGAGGAGAGCCACTCCTTTCCTGCTCTGTTCATTTTAGTAAAATGTGTATTTTAATTCCCAGTTGGAAGTAATCAAAAGTATAGCATGCATAGCAATTAAATTGTTTCTTTGGGAAATTTCAAAATGGAGGAAATTAAAAACATAAAATTACATTGACTCCTTACTAAACACTGAACTTCCTTGTAGTCCTGCCCTCAAACTGATTTAGGCTGTGGGAAATATTTCTTATAAAGCTTTAATGCCCATCCATCTTCAGTTAAGGTAAGAAAGTTCTGGTTTCACTCATTTTGCATTCTCAGTGGCCATCAGCAGAAATAGGATCTTTCTTTTGAGTATTTTCTCATTATTTATATAACCTATTCAAGTAATTGAATGTAAGGAGTCCACTTTGTGGCTGGAATTAGTGCATTTAATGCAAGGTTATGGGTTTTTGATTCTTGTTGAATCTTCATGTGTGCCTACATGCCAGGCACCTCTTGAGATTGCAGTACCTGTTGACACACCTAAGCAAGTTTCAGATTTGTTGTTTTAGTATTCTCAGTAGAAGTGCTAAAGCAGCATAGATTTCTCTCCTA